TATCGAAAACCAGTTATAAAATTATATCTTCTACACCTTTATTGTTAGAGTCTCCAAATTTTTAATGTATGCTTATATGCAATTTATACAATTTCGGTATTTATAAAATTTGCCTACCCCTATATTCACCCCCTCACCCTCACATTTGTAAAAGGCGTATTTCAAATACTATAGTGTTTCATGAAGATCGTATGTCCACAAAAAAAGTTATTAAACAAACATTAAGTTCTCATAGTAAGCGAACACTGTGCCCATGCGTGTTTATGCTTGTGTGTGTAAAATAGCTATTACTCCAAGGGTTCAGGGGAGCTTTCTTACCTGTTATATACTGAACTCATCGAAAATAGAGAATGTATAATGCCTTTGCTATAATGGGTGAATCAATATATAGTAATGTATGAATCAATATGGCTACATATATAGTTTGTCCGAGTCGAGCAATCTCGACTAGACCACTCTTGATTGATCGCTTATATTTTTATCTATCATAATATTTTTGAGTGATTGGCGACTACGAATAAAATAAAATATGATGAAAAAACCCAAATTAAAAAATATTTTTTGATTGTTTTTGCATTTGTGAACATTCAAATGTTTGGGGTCTAGAGGCTCTCTTAGTAGGGCTCCCCGATTAAAGTTTTTTACTTGCATCAATTTATTTGATTTGCATTCCGATTAATTGTGAAAGTGCTTTAATTTCGATATATAAATCGTTTTGGCCTCAGGCTCTATGAAGGTCGGGCACCCTGATTAGAGTCTTGTTCCCTGTCTATATATAATATAGTCGGCTAAGTTCAACTTCAAAGAAGTTTGTGAGCAAAGATATATGTCGTGGTTTATAAGTATGCATTGAGTAATTACAAAATTCTGTTTGATTGGAGAAAGGAGTTGCGATGCTCGGTTTATTTTAAATTCAGCGTGAAATTAATTATGGCAGCAGACGTTAATTAAAATTAAAATGCCAAAGTCGCCGCTAGAAATTGGCTAAAATTACGTCAGTCAGCCGTAAATTCATCCTAGACATCCACTCACTCCTCTTACCTCTTTCGCCTTCAGGTCTTCATGATCGACGAGCGCTCCCACAGTGGCCTGATGGCCATGCGGGCGGGCGGCGGGGGCGGAGCCAGCCTGGGCGGCCGCCTGGGCGACGCGATGCCGGATTATGATAATGTTAAGGTAAGTTTTGTTATGCAAATCTATGTGGGGCTGCCAGCCAAATGGTCAACAATTGCTCCGCCTGCCGGCGCGATACGTGGGCGTGGCAGCTTAACTACTGCGCCCATTTCATGGCGAGGGCCGTGGGAAAACAAAAGATGTCGCCACTCGCCACATTGCGCTGCATACCTTGCGGCTGGCGGGAGGCAAAGAGATTTGCATATTTGAGCGAGCAGCATAGCGCATAATGCATATGATTTACTTATCTTTTCATTTTTGGAGTCTCTTCTTTTTTCTTTCCGTGCAAACGAAGCAGATTTATTTGCAGTTTTGAAGCCAGAAACCAGAGGAGCAGCCATAGCCCATAAGCCGACAGTTTTCATATCTCATATCCAAGTGGGTTTCTCTTGAGCATGAATTGAGCAAGTAACAATCTAAATAATAAATGAAATTGTCTAAAATCTCGTAGATTTAGTGGCTATCGAGTTGCATTCCTTGAAAATTAAATTGTTAAGTATAAGTTAAGGGAGTTGCTCTGGGCTCATGATATTTTCCTCATTCTGAATCTCATTTATTGCATTGCATTTCTGATTTACTTTTGTGTTTGCAGGATGACTACGATCTGGACGACAGCATTCTGAGTGACAATAAATTGGGCTTCATACAGTTCCGTGACAATAAACTCAAAATTCAAGGTGAGTGGTAGATGGATAAATGGGTGGATGGGGGGATGGGGGATGGGGGATGGTAAATGGCAATCAGCGCCACACAATGCCATGCGAAATGTAATCAGAGACTGCCATGTCTGAGATAACAAAGGCCATCGAGTGCTGAGATGAAGCTCATGGATTTGAACAATTCACAGAAGCCGCAGGCGCCGATGGCCAACGTCCGAGGTATGCGGGCATGCTGCTCAATGGAGCCGGAGCGGGCGAGGGCAACGGCGCTGGCGCCTTTGGCGTGGGTGTTGCCGGCGTCAGCAATGGGCTGAGCATGCCGCTGATACCGTGGGGCCAGCTGCTGCCCGCCCAGGTGGAGGAGACACTGCCACATTTCCCGTTTGGCACGGCGCCCGGCGACGGCGCCTGGCAGGTTGTCAATGGCACCCGGTTCAAGTTCTTTGTCTACTCCGCCTACTTCGATCGACGCGATGGAGCACGCCTTGTGCGCGTTGTTGGCGCCACCAAAACACGTGGACCAGAGCGCGTCTGGTGCAGATTCTGGTACGGCCCGACCACCCACAACAGCAGCGAGGCAGCCCCCTCAGCAGCACGTGCCAAATACACCTCGGCCACGGTGATGGCTCGCGTTAAGGTGAGTTCAGTCAATAATCGCCCACCCATTACAAATAATAGCTCAAGGAAATGAACACGGATTGCGTGGCTCTATTGTAATTGAATTGTGGTTCTGAGCGGATGCGTTTAGTAGGCAAAAGGAAATCTCTATTAGATTATTTTTATATCCTGCAACCATTGAAAATGGAAAATCAGGAAATAATGCTCATGTTAAAATGTACATAACAGGCAGAAGGAGGCGTGGCAGGCCCATGGAGTATATACTTTCTGGATCACACGTCCGCGTGTATGAATGTGTCGATCTCAGCAGATATAGGAGCTAGAGACTTGAACTTTTCTTTCGTATATGGCAGGCACATATCGAGCTTGTTACGAACAATCGATAACTATTTCAATCGATTTAAGTCCTTTAAAATAAAGTTTCGACATTTTCCATATTGCACTTTGTATTGTATACGATTTAGATTTAAATTATATAATAGATTCCGGCTATACATTTTACCATACTCCCCTCAAAAAATTCGGCTTCAAATTAGAAGAGGTGCATAATAGTTCTCAAAATATAACAGAATTTGTAGTCATATATAGTTTTATCCATATCTGTGAGAAAAAAAGATTTTCTGATGCTTTCAGACTAGGTTTGCAGTTTGTTTATGTCATGAGAGAATCATTTAGAGATTCGTTCACTAGCTAGAGGGTATTCCAATGTTTAACTGATTACGTTTTATAGATCATACGCGAGAACTGGAATCTGAAGTACAGCGCGTGCTTCGTGCTCTGTCCGGTGCGAGCTCCACTGTTGGAGGTGCCCCAATTTGTGAGCGTGGTGTCCAGATTGCGAGCACCGCCCGGCAACTTGATAACGTTGCGCAACACTGATCAGGACCCGGACTTTGCTCAGCAGCCGGTGCCGCCAGCACCGAGCAATGCCAGCGCCGCGGGACACAGTGGAGCTTCGCGTCGACCCAGTGCGCAGGCACCGCCCAGCGGCGAGCAGATTCCTGACAGGATGGCCGTGTGCGTGAAGCCGTTTCACTTTAGCTACGATCAGGCCTTGTATCTGATGGAGTACTTGGAGTTCTATGCTCTACTGGGCGTCTCGCACTTCACCTTCTACAACCATACGCTTGGTCCGCACGCCTCCTGCGTGCTGCAGAGCTACCAGCAGGGCCAGGTGCCCGGCAACCTGACCGCCTTCGACTGGGAGCCGCTGCAGCCCGCCGAGGCAGCCGGCAATGCGACGCCGCGGGTGCTCAAGTCGCTGCACTACCAGCGACCCACGGTCAGCATTCTGCCCTGGAACCTGCGCATGCGCTCCCAGAAGGAGATACGCACCGAAGGTCTCTTTGCAGCCCTCAACGACTGCCTCTACCGCACAATGTACCGCTACAAGTATCTGGCGCTGGTCGATCTGGATGAGTTCATCGTACCGCGATACACGGACACGCTCAATGAATTGCTAAGGTGAATTAGGCAAGCCTGCTGAGCTGAGATGATTCACGTATTCACTTACCCCTTCCTCGACAGCTCGCTGAACCAGCGCTTTCGCAACCGCAACACCGGCGCCTATTCCTTCCAGAACGCCTTCTACTATCTGCAGTTCGCCGACGATCCGCTCGCCAGTTCGGGAATCTCGGGCGGCAGCGATCAGCTGGCCAGCGTGCGAGCCTCCCTGGTGACGCAGCGCAAGACGCGCAGGTGGATATGGTGTGACTGAATCTCCCGATCGCTGAGCTAATTCCAATCCATTTCCTACAGGCGCTACAAGCTGCATCCGCAAAAGCAACGCTCCAAATACATTTGCAAGCCCGAAGCTGTCGTCGAGGCGGGAAATCATTTCGTCTGGGAATTCTCCCCGGGCATGGGATCACTCAATGTGCCACCAAAGGAGGCCATATTGCAGCATTATCGGGTGAGTTGATGCATTAGTGGAACGCTTGTATTGGGTAAACAATAATGGGTGATCTTAAAGAAATATGTGTGCCATAGCAAACGTACTCTATTCTGCCCCATACATCTATTATGATCAGGAGTGTATATACACACATATTTCACATCCTTCTAATAATTCAGTTATATAATTTGTCTTGGCTGAACAATTCTTGTTTTCCTTGAGTGGACTCAGTCTTCAGCTTGGAATAACTTACAATATTGTAGAAAAATTAAGTACACATAACTATTACCTTTTATTCTTTTATATCCTTTGGCAGGTTTGTGAATTTGGTGGCAACGACTGCATCAAGGCGCCGTCTATACTGGATCGCACCACCACCAAGTACGTGAACCGCCTGGTGCAGCGCGTGGATGCCGTCTATCGGCATTTGAGGCACCGCTGCGATCTGCCGGCGCTGCCAACGCTGCCCAAGCGATCAAGCGCCCAGGCCCAGGAGCAACAGCACAACGAGAAGCCCAAGTTACTACAGCAGATGCGCGAATCGAACGCGCAGCAGAGCCAGAAGGAGCAGCATGATCACAAGGATCAGAATGCGCCTCTCAAGGCAGCAACGAGTGCCACAACGAAGCAACAGCAACAGCAACAGCAACAGCAGCAGCAGCAGGTAAGGAAGCCGATGACGACAACGACAGCCCCACTCCAGGGCAAGAGCGGAGCACAGAGTCCAGTGGGAGCAGCCACAGTGACGGCCAGGACAACAGCCAGCGATCCACTCAAGCAGCAGCTGCCGCCGCCGGCCAATGTGCGCAAGAAACGCAAACTGATCGTGTTTGAGTTGGATGATATGGGGGTACCCATAGCACGCGTCGAGTATCACTGAGAAACGGCTTTAGTTGGCGAAATAGTCGCTTAGGCGCCGGCCTCTTCCTGCATGTGCATTTGTGCCAATTAGTTGGATTAGTTGGAGTCTTAGCAGCGAATAAAGCAGAGCTTGATTGATTATTTTGAATAGGTTTTCTGAATAGGTCTTTGCCTTTGGGTTGTGCCTCAGTGCGGTTGTTCCACTACATTTTGCTCAATGTCATATCAGGAAACGAATAGCGAGGTTCTCACGAGGAGTCACGATGTCGCATTGATTTCTCATGACATTTACAGCCTATTTGCGTGTTTAACATTAACATTTGAGAATAACATTGGAGAGTTACTTTGGTCATCCTACAAATGTCTCAATATGGTATAAATATAACGAAATTATTCCTATGCAAAATTTGAACAAAATTCCTAAGGATAAAGTCAAACTGTTAGCATAAGTTTAGTGTAAGCGCCCAAACTTAAAAGTACTGTTAGCTATACGTATTAATTATATTCGGATATTTCAATTGCAACAATATTTACCGATCCTCAAGCTAAGCACCAAATACAACTGATAGAAACTATACTTAGCTAGTCCCTCTGGCCCGGTCTATCAAAGCGGAATCGGAGCTACCAATTAATTGAATAATCAACAGAACGAAACGAATTTTTAAATGCTTCAAAGTATCGCACATATTGGTATATATTTTTTTGCCTTGAACAGTAAATAGCACGCAGCAAGCGTAAGTTGCATCTATTAGATATATAAACCGATATTTATACAAAGTTTCTAGTCGTAACGCTCAGTAGTTCATAAGTGATAAAACATGCAAGTGTTTTCCAATGAATAACAGTCAATAAAATTGTGTGCAAAAAGAAAAAAACAAGTTTAATTTATTTTTAGTAGATTTTCGTTTTGGGATATTGTGTGTACAGCCTTCATTCCGTACAGGGAATTCATGAACCATATTTGGGTATAAGAGGTTTACAAATGTAAAGTTTTATAAACTCTTATAAATGTCTTATATACGCCATTTGCTACTAACTTATATCAGGTTTATAATATAACAAAATATCCTAAATGGATTGACAGATTATAGCTAGTATAACAACATAAATCTGTTCGTTTACATAATTCTGTGGCAATGTAAATCGGTTAGGTCTTACATTTTTGTCATATAATATTACAGATCTCAGCTGTGCTTGATTTGAATGCTTGTATAACAATTAGAATAGTTTGTTTTGCCTAGGTATACAAAATGCTATATAAATTGTATAACAACAAGCTTCCGCACTACTTGCAATCAAAATTGCTAAAGCTTTTGTTGATGCATTTGTTTGTATAAAAACTTTCGATTGGGAAGTTCTCATAACAAAATGTCCCAGCTTGATTTTGTTTTGCAATATGACAGTTTCTGGCTTAATAACATAAATGTAGTGCGAGCTTCTATGTCAGAATAAGCTTAGATACTTGACTTGAGCTTTATGACATTTTGTGCTACAGCTTTATTCTATATGCTTGTTGCGGAAATTTGCCTTGCGAAGGAAAGCTCGGAATGCTGGTATAACACAGAGTTGAAATAAAAATTTATGGTTATAAATGAATGGGGAAAAGGGAAAACACTTGGATGTAGGGGAATTTGTAAGAGGGGAAATTAAAAACAATCCATGTTTGAGTGAGAGCAATTTTATACATAATGAACGTAAAAGTCAACAAAGTGGTGCATAAATATAAATAGAAATAGAAAATTTTTTTATTTGTACAGCATTTCAGCCCAAATCCTATACTCATTTGTTTGTAGTTTTTGCAACAGATAAATTTGCATCACCTGATGGGCTCAAATGTTTGCGAACGCGCGCAACACGCAAACATTTGACCAGTTGTTAATAACTGAATTATGATTTAGCAATGTAAAACAATGAAAATCAAATACATAATCAAATGTAACCGTAAACTGTATTGCTGCTTGTCTATATGCCTGTAGAATATTATGGCAATTGCGTTAAAGCTGATATATAATTGACTTACTGCAGAGTTGATTGCTACATACCCTATAACAAGAGTTAAAGATTAGTACCTTATTTTGAACTAGGTTCAAGATAATTAAATCTCAATAAAAGTCGCAAGATTATCCACCATAAGACTAATTTCATATGACTCATTTGAATTAGTTAAAACCTAAGCATTAATTCCTCATTAACGAAATGGAGCCGCTGCAGTCAGACACCTATTAAAGTCATCTCTTCGTTTGTCGACTCGATCCGAGCATTTTCAATCTGTAGTCCACAAGGCAAGGGGGTTACGATAGAAAGGGCGCAAAAAAAGAGATACCGGAAATGTAACAGGAAACAAAATGACTTAATGCGCTGCAATTGCGTTCAGTCATAGCCATGGGATACGGGAAGCAGAGAGAGGTGACGTTCTGGCTGGCTGACGTTCCGGCTACGGAACACCGATGCACTTAAGCAGGCGGCGCACGTGGTGCTTGGGTCAGCGGAAAATGGCGAATGGCAAATGGCCAATGGCGAATAGTGAAGCGGCAAACGGTGAATAGCTTCATAATTGCAATGGAAACGAAATGGAAATGAATGCCCGCCACATGAGGCGGGCGTACCGCAAGGAAAATACGACGTTGCATTTATTGAGTAATCGAGTGATTTTTGCATTGAGCTACAATTTTTATTATGCTGCTTTAATGGCCCACCACCTATAGGATTATAGTGCTATAATGCTTTGAATCGGGAATTTCCCTTAGTGCGCAAGATATGATTAAGGTGTGTCTTCATCGCCACTGGATTCCGATGAGGCTGTTGTCGTCGTTGTCGCCGTTGTAGGATTAAACTTAATGATGTTCTTAATTTTTGCTTCACTTATTTCCTTATTTGCATTCAACTGCTCCAAAAAGATGTCAGAATTACCTTTAGCATATTTTCCTGCTTTGACCAGGGAATTGCTGCTCCTTATGATTGTTTGCAGATCGTTTTGTGCGTTGTTAAGCTTTACCTTTAAAAAGTTTACACTGGTCGTACAGCGATCGACGCTCATGGACCCTTCTAGACACTTGTACAATGTATTATTCAGCGTCCTAGCGTCTCTGGTGTAAATGTAAATTCTATCCTGAACTGTCTTCTCAAAAATACTTTTTTGTTGCTCGTAGTTGTTCAGAGTGCGCTCTAGATATACCGTAGAGAATTCGGTAAATAGTTTAATCGTATCCTGTGCCTGCCGTAGGCCAGCTGCATTGGTACTTTTTCTTGCGGTATCGAGTTGGATCGCTTTCCACGTCGACAATTCAGAAAGTGTATCGGTAATCGTCTTGTTGAGATCCTCGGGAAGCTGGCTGTTTATGTCGGTGAGTGCAGCCTCGAGCTCAGCAGCAACTTTGTTAAGAGATTTTAATGCTGTCAGCCCCGTCGTCAGTGCCTGCATGGGGTTTTCTTGGTTTTTTATTTCCTCTTCAAGAGCCGCAATATCGTCAGATAATTTTGCTGCTGATGCTGTTAAGTTACTAATAAATTTCTCAGATAAGCCACTCGATGAAGATTCAGATGAAGAGTCAGGTGAAGAATCAGTCGAAGATTCAGGGGAAGATTCAGAGGAAGATTCAGAGGAAGATTCCTGTGACGATTCAGGTGAAGCATTTCGTCTTGTCCTCCAGATTTTCCCGACAAGACTCTTACCACCTTCAATCAGCTTGGATCCTATGTTTCCAAAGAAAGAGGGATTTTCCAATAAATTATCGCCCTTGCCAGCAACTTCGGAGTCATCTTCGCTTGGGTCCGATATTGATTCGTTGGCAGAGTGCGATAAGTGTTCATCAATAATTTCATCTAGGTCTCTCTCAGATTCAACCATATCATCAGCCAACTGCTTCAGGAGGGATGAAGAAGAAATACTCTCATACCAACTTGTTGTTATCAGTGCTTTGCTGTTTTTCAGCGCGATTTCCAGTTTGCTTTTGCCAATGCTTAACTTTTCTACTGATTCCTTTACTCGGGCTGCGCACTGGACGGCGCTAATGGGGCCGTACTGACATTGGTTCAATTTGTCAATCAGCGCCGTAGCATCTTCTATATAGTTGAAGTTGCTTAAGATCTGCTGCACAAGCTCAATTTTTCTCAGCTCCATGTCACTCACGGCATCAATTAGATTCGGGATAGAGCGTGTAAGAACCTCTTGAATGATGTTGGTCGCCTTCTCGACGCCGGCACCATTGGTCTTACTGTTCACACGCTGCAGTTGCTCTTCTGCCCACAGCAGCAATGCATTTAGAGTGTTATTAACCTTGCCCATGTCCTCCGATATTTTATTGCTCACATCCAGGTATGCTGATTTCACGTTTGAGGCTGTCGAATAAAGTTCCTTTAGCGCTGCCAACCCACTAGTTAATGTCGTTCTCTTCAGCGGATTCAATTCAACTTTACTCTTTCCTTCAAGATCTTTAATTCTGCCCGAAATGTTGTCCAGTTGACTGGTTAATGAATCGGATATTGCGCCTGATATCTGTTTTCCAAACTGGGTCACATCATCGAGGAACTGGCCCTTCGCATCTTGTACATCTTGGAATAGGTCTTGAAGGCCAGCACCGTCTGTGCTTCCATTCAAAAGTTCCTTAAAGCGATTTTTGGCACTTTCACGTAGTCTAGATAATAATGATGCTTCATTGGATGCTCCAGATGATGATCCAGATGATCCTCCATTGGATGCTCCATTGGATGCTCCAGATGATGCTCCATTGGATGCTCCAGATGATGATCCATTGGATGTTCCAGATGATTCCCCATTGGATGCTCCATTGGATGCTCCAGATGATGCTCCATTGGATGCTCCAGATGATGCTCCAGATGATCCTCCATTGGATGCTCCATTGGATGCTCCAGATGATGATCCATTGGATCCCGACGAGCCTCCGTTAGCATCTGTTGTGCTTGGATTGCGGCTAATGATGTCAACAAGATCCTTTTCGAATTTAAGTTTATTCTCGGCCAATTTTTTGAAGAACGATTCGTTGGATACTGTAGCTTTTATTCCCGCTTCGACCAAATTGTTGCCTTCCTTCCGTAAATTCAGCAACTCAGTTTTGGCGTCACGTAGATTCTCTATCGATTCCTCAATCAGTGATTTGCATCTAAAGATGCTGAAACGACCGCAACTGCTCATGTCCTCAATAAGTTTATTGACGAATTCGCTGTATTCATGGATTTTGTCGTTCAACTTTTGTTCATACAATGATTTCTTAACATCGAGCTCCAACAGTACGGCATTTAGCTCTTTAGAGACGCTTGATATGAACTTTGTTATAATGTCTTGCGCTTGTTTCAGGCCAGTTTCATCGGAAGCTTTTTCCACACGATCCAGTTGYTCCTTACTCCAGCTTAGCACATCGTTCGGTATTGCACCCAGTTGATCGTTTACTTTCTTCGCTAGCTTCTGATTTATATCGAAGAGCTTCAGTTCCGTGGCTTCTGAGTTGAGCTGCTCAAGCAGTTCCAGTCCACTGCTCAGTGCCTTACGCTTTATAGGGTTCCTTTCAGAAGCAACGTCTCTTTGGAACTTTGTAATGCTGGAAGTGAGGCTTTGCGATAAGTCCTTAATGCCTGTCGTTAATGATTCCGATATTCCATTGGATAGATCTTCCCCTAGCTGCAATGCATCCGCTAAGAAGTTTCCATTCGCTTTGTCCAGTCGGTTCAGAAGGTCCTTATTATTGGCAGCGCCATCCCGAGTTGCACTCCTTAGTCCTTCGATAATACTATTGCCGCCGTCTTTCAGATCGCCCCATATGTCATTAAATATCTCAAAACTGCGCTTACTCCAAATGCCCCTAGCGCCTAAGCACAGCGTCAGCAGTAGCAAAGTCAGCTTGGGCGACTGCATCTCGTTAGCTGAGCCAGTTCCAGTTCATCGTCGACTTCGCCATTTCCGCGCCTTTTATAGCGCCAGCCGGACGGCAGTGCGCGGATATTTGAGCACGCTATTTGCTCTCGTTCTGTGATCAAATATTTAAGCAGCTGATACAACCGACTCACTAATATTTGCCCACTATTGTCCGCTTTGCACATACACTGGGAGCACACATGCGGGCGAGTGTTGTGTAACAAAAAATATAATTATAATACAAAAATAAAAGATAAATAAAAATGCATTTAAACTTATGTATATGTATGTATAGGAGAAATCTGCCGTATTCAGTGAGAGCAATAGAAATTATGCATATAGCTGTCGTAGGTATTTGAGCTAGTGATGGCATAACATTTATTAATCGATTATTGATTCTAATTAATCGCTGAAAAACGATTAGTAGTTAAACAAGTGCGTTTTTATTGTTATTTAAGATGTTGCATATTGTAAATTGAACAGCAAAGAAAATAATTAAATGTTTAAAAAATGCAAAAATGAAAGTTTCCGTAAAAATAATCTAGACACCGGCGCGATTACTTTTTGAAATAATCGATTATGGTTTCATTTAATCACAGTCCATATTGCGACACAATTACATCGCCAATGGAAGCAAAATAATTGATTATTGTTTACATTGATATCAGCTTAATGCACAACACGTCATCATCACTTCAGCTTTGGTAAATCTCTCTGAGGTAGCTCAACTGTCATATGGACATTTCAGAGTTACAGCCTAAGGAGAATTGCCAGACATACATACATACATACATATGTACTTTCTGTAGAAGAAAATTGGTTCGTCAGGGAAAGCTTTAGCCGATGGAAATTTGTAGGAAATTTGATTGCACATCACATTCATTTACTGTGTCATCGTGTGTCGACAAACTTCATAATTTGTGTTGCATGAATTGATTTAATTTGGGCAATTTAAGAATAATTCCGATGCGAGTCGTCCCACATATGCGACCGACAAAGGCAGATACAACCTTTGCATTTCATTTCATTTAGCAATTTRAGGCACACAAGGGGCGACCCTTGCCTTACTTTGTGCATAAATAACTAAATCGGCATGCAAGGCATTCGGCAAAGCCTTTATGCATGCGGATGCTTGTACTTTAAATACAAATAGTGCAATGATCAGCTGCCTAATACCCTAGCTCATGCATATTGGAATAATGCATCGATGCAGCTCATTGCCATGGATGATATCAATATTACTGTTAAAATCCACTAATTATAGACGATATAAAAAAAAAGAATCTTTATTTCAATTTTTTTATTTTTTTTTTTTAATATTCTTCATACTGCATATTAAACTGATATACCCGTTTCACTCACATTTGACTGTAATATACAGTCATATACAGTTACATTTGTCTCTGGTCTGCATTGGATCGGGCCTTTGCATGGGGCTTTTCAAGGTAGCCGTGGGCGACGTACGGCATGAGCATTTTATTAGTCTGCTGTTTGTTTTGTTTAATTATGCTGTCATTAAGTTTGTCACACACACATGCACACACGCACACATGCAGATGAGAGGCAAGGACAACTGTTAAACAAAAGCTTACATGTCTAAACGCAATTATTGCCGAGCTGCGAACGAAGAGCAACGGGCATCAGACAGTGGAACGTTGCCCTGGGACAATACGCTCTGCATGCTTTAGCTTATATGTATAGCTTTTTATGTGGCTGGATTGCGGTGGGCGTATGGGCGCGTGGGCGTGCTGGCTGGCTATCCAGAGTCCGGGCTGTCGGACTGCCCCTCTGTCCGCTCTGCGACAAGTCGCACAGAGTCCGTTGGCCACTCTCGGCCAGACATTTAATTTGCATTTTCCACTAATTGGCTTGCATACGGTACATTCTCGCTTCGCTTAATTAATTTAATTAGAAATATGTTTTGGCACAAAGAAAGACTCTACCATTTCCATTCCCCCTCCCCCCCCCATCGCTCTCTCTCTTTCTCTGTCTCTGTGAGTGTGTGTGTGTGTGGTGCTCTGCAGAATGATAATTAGCAGAGTATTTGGTGGCTTATCAGTTTATACTCGAAAACTTTGACGATAAATTTTCCTTTGAATATTAAGGGCATATTAATTATCGGCTTTTGGACAAAAAAATATCCAATTATGAAATATTTTTAAATATGTATAGAAATATATAAATGAAATAATATAATTATTCGCGGAAAGTCAGGTTTCTATATCACTACTGAATTTTGATTCAGATACGCCCAAATAAATATTGCTTACATATATAAATTTATATTCGTAAATTCTAGTTTGCTTTTAAGTATTGATCAGCTTGACAATATTTAATCACGCATTTCACTTGTGTTTCTCTTGGGCTGATCAGCATTTGAAATTTGAGTGAATGTGAAAGTCAGAAACAGCTCCTAGTGGTTCGCTGTTCTGTGTAGTTTCGCTTTAAATATTATTTTCTATATGGGATCTTTGAAATTTTGAATTTACTTACGTGGAACCACAGCTATTAGGTCCCCATCCATAATCATATCTTAATCAGGTGTGAATTTCATAATAGGTCAGTGATCCATTGAATTGCCTGCATTGCCAGAATCAACTCCCAATGATTTCAGCTGCAGTTTACCTCTTTTGCTTCAATTCAAAAGTTACTTTACTGAGCATACCATACTCTCATAATAAAGTCTTTCATATACACATAAAAATCCGCTCAGTTTACCAGAGTCAACTTGAAGACGTTATGTCACTCTCCAGTCGGAATGAATTGGCCTCAAATCACATGAATCTGAAAGGAGCTTTAGCAAGGAACTCTTATTTTCTATATACCTGTTAATTTTCCTATGCAACTTGATGTTATAATTTCCTGGCTTTCTATTTCGTCCTTAGTGTCTTAATTTGATCAGCATTTTTATGAATTCCAAAACTTCCAAATCATTTTTATTCAACTGTATAGTTAGTTACTTGTTATTAGTTTATTAGCAATTTGCTGAAATGGCTATGAGCTATATAACAATTATAGATCATATTCGCAATTGTAGTTCAAGAGATTCGCTCACATTATTCTCCACTGCTCTCAAAGAATCCTGCTATATCAGGAGTAAAGCGTATGGCTTATTTTCTTGTTACTTACTTAACAATATTAATCAATCTTTTGGAGATTTATATATATATTTGCCCGCTGTTAATGGGAATGGTCTACCTGGCTGGGCTTCCTCGCCTGCATTATCCAGCTACCCAGACCTAGAGCTATGAGCTCGTGGTTCTATGTAAGTGCACCTCAGTTTCAGCGCTCTGGCGCTGGGAATGCTTTTATGTAGTTTTCTGACCTCAGGTCCAGCAGTGAATGGCCAGCCACAGGGACAGCGGGGAAGGGGTGGTGGGTGGTGGGTGCTGGGTCGGTGGGGATGCTGCCATGGCATCGCATCGCATGGCAATCGCGGCCATTAAGTCATTTTGTTTCCTGTAACAGTTCCGGTATCTTTTTAGCAACTCCGTGCCGTTAGTGGGGCTGCGCCAATGAGCTGCCCTGGAGCTCTGTAAATGCTTTTAAAGTAGGTGGCTGCTTGTTCAATTTATTGCCCCACCAAATGCATAGTTGCTGTTGTTCGCTTTGTTGTCGTTGTTGTTGTTGTTGTTGTTGTTGTTGTTGTTGTTGTTGTTGTTCGCCAGCCAGCCAAATGCAACTGCCTTTCAAATTGCAGCACATAAAGTGTTGCCCAGAAATCAACTTGCACTCTTTATGCCCAGCACAGATAAAGCTCTGCCAGAACTTAACATTAACGATACGCCTTGGCCACTTAAATGCTCGCAATGAATGTCCAAGCAGATAACATTTCCTGCGCTCAAATATTTATTAATCATAATTTGTTGACTTGCACGAGGCAAACATGTTCAGCCTCAAGAGGAGCTTTAACTGGAGTAAAAAATGCAATTTAATGCGCTCGCTCATCTGGAGCTTTGAGAGCAGAGTGGCGCAGTGGAAACGTGCTGGGCCCATAACCTAGAGGTCTGAGGATCGACAACTTGCTCTGCTAGGGGAAAGAGTTTTTCTATTTTATTTTTTAGTTTGTTTTTAGAAACGGCAGACGATACAAGTTTAACCAACATTTATAGCAAAGTCACACATACGGATATGGCGTCTAACGGTTGGTCACTTATAACCGGATTGCATTATGTTGTATTTGGAGTAATTCAGTAGAGGATCCTGAACGAAAGGGATTTGTGCTGTTCATCAAAAAGGCCTGAATGTGTCTTTTATAATTGTAGAGAAAGGCAGGGCCACTTAGCTTGAGAGTAATATTATAAGTTCTGTATTTGTATGCTCCCCATTAGTGTTACGGCTTAAGGCATATATTGCTAATATATATGTATGTGTGTATGTATTTGTGTTGTATCTTTGGCGTATGTGCTGTATGAGTATTATGCGAAAGAATTCATTCTTGGGAATTCGGTAATCTCCCTTTACGTAAATATTTATATTGTGAGACCTATCTCGAGACCCTAGCGATCGTTATCCTAGTTGGTTTTGCTCTGCGCAAGGTTTTTGGCACTAGATGTCGCTTTACTGTCACAATCATAGCATTCTTGTAGAAAGCAACTGACGAAAGTACACGAAAACGAAATATGAGAAATTTTGGTTTGTTGCCGAAGATCGTGCAATAAATAAACGGGTGCATAGATCATTTGTTTCATTTGTTACAACCAGAAAGAAATTCACAATCTCGAAGTTTGTTGCAATACGATAAAAAATATAATTGTGCATTATAGTTTATTTACTTTTTATTAAATGTATATGTATGGGTATATTATTATATCAAATATAAATGTATCACTTTTCATTGGCAAGAGTTCACTGGTCTCATCCAGTTTATGTATTTATCGATTGTTATATTGACTCTTTTCTACAATCTCACAAACATTTCTGCGCCATTCCGTACGTTTGGCACACTTGACATGATGGAGCATGACAGGGCAAACACTTGGCCGTAGATGAAGTCATAGCATGGCAATACCAACATTTATTTTGGATGCATG